AAACTACTACAATGGGCAACAGACAAACTTCACTGCCAGAAGGTTACCTATGGAACGCGGGTCAGAGTGGGACAACAGTCGAACTACCTTGATCTTGTTTTTACCCGAGAGAAGGAAAATGTGTAAGACCCGCAGGACCGCCCGTTGTTAGGGTCAAGCGATCACATCAAGCTCTACTTCGAGTAATCACTGTTTTCCAAACCCGTTCTGTCCGATAGGTGGGAGAGAAACATTTGGAAAGGGGACTATTCCCTCATGAGGAAGGAAGCGGCAGCTGTATCATGAGAGACTGAACTTCATGGTCGAGCAAACGACAATTTGAATACTTCCAGTTCATTACTGAAGGAGATTGTTTAACCCAGATACCCTATCAGAAGAAAGACAGTTACAAACTGTCCAAAGTGGATAAACTCGGACTTACAAGTCGCCCTAAAAAAGGAATCGCCTGTGGAAGCGTCACAGAGTAACTGACTCCGAATAACACTTACAGGAATATAAACAGCAACGAAACGTTTATAAAAGTGAGGCCTCAAAGCTGCGAAGGAAGTCCGAACTGAACATGCTGCAAAATTCGTTGGAACATCCGAAAATTCTATATGGTTATATACGGGATACTGAAAGGACCCAGGATCTGATTCCTGCCCTTACGCTTGTAGATTGTAAAGTTGAGACTGATGACCAGGCCAAAGCGTCCCCCATTTCTAATTTCTTTCGGCCTGTCTTCACCCGACAACCTAGTTCTGTATTTGTCTATTTATCCGTTCGCCAACCAATGTCTCCTCCTACTCCCCTTCCCCTCATACCTCCTCACTACCGTCCTAAACCAACGAAACACTATTCTGATCGACCATAATTATGGCCGAACTACTCCGGCTGCAACCTGCCCAATCTCTTGGTCCAGATAGAATTCCCGCACCATTAATTCATGAACTTGCTAATGAACTGTGCAAACTATCGTCTGCAATATTTCAAAAGTCACATGAAGAAGGCGAGCTCCTGGAAGGATGACAGTGCTCACTCACCACCCCGATCCACAAGGGAGTCCCACAACTTGACTATGGAAGTTATCGTCCCGTCAGTCTTACTTGCATCGCGTGTAAAATAATGGAATGCATTATCAAAAGCCATTTGATGCAATACCTGGAAAAAGCAAAAAATTGCGTGATGCCCAACATGGCTTTTGTTCAGGACGCTCCTGCCTAACGAGTGTTCTATACTCGCACGAGAAATGGACAAGAACTACCGACAAGGGTTTTCCAGTGGACGTCATATTTTTTGACTTCAAGTAGGCCTTTGGCAGTGTCCCACACAAACTTCTTTTACAGAAGTTCTGTAAAGTAAGAATTCAAGGAAGAATATTTAAATGGATGAGGAGTTTTCGGTCCTCCAGAATGCAAAGAGTTGTCGTTGGTAACTACCTTCGAATGATCAAAGGTGGAAAGTGGTGTCTCAGAGGGTTCTGTTTTAAGCCCAGTACTCTTCGTGATTTATGTAAATGACTGCAACAGCGAACTGGATTGCGAGGCCCTCATGTCTGCGTATGACGCAGATATATGGAATGAAGTCAAATGCGATGATGACGCAAAGAAGTTGCAGTCGAACATCAACAAACTCTGTGTTTGGTCGAACAGATGACTTTTAAAGTTTAACGTGTCCAAATGCGCGGTCTTATACCTAATCACCAGCCGAAATGCCTCTCCCAAACACCAGTACTATATTGACGCGATGAGATTAGAAACTGTAGAAAAACCTAGAGATCTGGGTGTATGGACAACCACAAATCTAATGCCATCGGAACACTGTATAACGATGTCTCAGAAGGCAACTGGTACTCAACACTAGATCAGGCGTGCATTTAAAATATTCCCTCCGAACTCTTCGAAAGACTTTTTGGCTTCTTTGGAAGAGCCCAACTGGAATATGGGATGCCAGCAGCTTCACTGTGGATGAAGAAGGATATTGACCAACTCGAACAAATGCAGCGCAGAACAACGAAGATGGTCGACGATGTAGGGCATTTGTCTTACCAGGAAAGGTTGAATGTGCTTGGCTTATTCCCTCTCTCTCATGAGCAAATAAATTGCAGTCTACTGTGGACATTCCGGATGGTCCGTGGACAAGGTCGCGTATTAAAAAAGGAGAACTTTTCTGAGTGTGCCTATACAAACCAATTACGCAGTCATGCCTACAAAGTCAAGAGTGAACGCTCGCGGCTGGACCGTACGAAGTTTTCACTCAGCCAGCGGGTTGCTTGACCACAGAACTCGCTACTAAGCGAGATCTTGACGACCGACACAATTTCAGTGTTTAAAAGAAAATTGTCTCGCTTGATTTTCGACAGAAACCTGCTTTTACAACATGAGTACCCACAGTCAGCTCTGTAAAACATTGTCATACACTATCTTTCCGTACTGACTCAGTGAACAGGTGCGCGTCCTTATCTTTGCGATTGTACCGTGATCCGATCACATTGTAAATGTCTGGAACTTTATTTTGAGTACAAATCTGCGAAAGCATTGTACATAAATAGCCATCGAGGACTCTGTCTCTAACCTATCAAATACATACATACATTTGTACGAACCACCCCTAGGGTAGAGAAGCAAGTATTATTTGGGCATAAATATACTTCACTTATACTTGAAGCAACTCTACAAGAAATAGACATTACAGGCGCACTTTATTTGCCAGATATGACTTACTAACTCCAAAAGACGATCTAAACTCACCAGGCGCCATTGCTGCCTGAGACAGTGGTTTAGCATCCTGTGCGAAATAAATCCATATGTAGAGGTCTTCACAGTATTGCATGCCGACGGACACGCCGGATTCCCAGGGTGCATACCAGCTGAACGGTGGGCGGATTTCGATTGTATTTTGAAACTACTGCTGTCTTCTTAAGTAAAAACCCTGACCCTCGACTGGGAGCGAGACTTTACTTCATACGACTAGAGGAAATGCTACTGTTTTACAAATCCTGAACATGGTCCTATTTATGTGTATATACAGTTTGTGTACTGTTCTCAATATAGCTTTCCGAGTTTGACCGTTTTCAGAATGAAAATTCGTATTTATCGGACTTATGAAATAGGTGACCCAATCACACGAATAATAGCACATTAAGAATCGTGTAGAGGATGACAAACATAAATTGGAAGGGGTTCGTGGAAAGTGTAGGTAATGCGTCAAGTCAGATCTTCGTGCGTAACAGTCTACGTTGGTAAAGGAACGTTCACCGATCGCGGTACGGAACTCACTCGTCCCGCTGTGCCTTGGGGCTCTCTCTCTCGAGCCCGACCAGTGGTCGCATAGGGACGCGAAATATAAGCAGAACGACATTTCCGATAAATGAATAGTCAATTTGGCCAACACGTGTTATCGGTAACTCTTCATCAGGCCAAAACCGTTACATATAAGTTTAAATTATGCGAAGTTACAGGGCTTATAAGTGATTCGGTGACTATCAACACCCATCGTTCCCACGCCACTCGCGTGACGAGGCGTGCTATGGCGTGGTCGGCGTGTTGTGATCATTGGGTCAAGGGGGCGAGGGAGGGGGGACATAGGCTGTGAGTAATGTCTACACGTCGGTTACGTTATGCACACACCACTGCCATCAGGAGGTTGGGACGACGTCCGGATCGGCGTTGGCCACAGAAGACAGAGCGCCTGTGCCAGAGTCCTCTGACAGCATAGCGCTAGATTGGCTGGCCGTATAGCCGCTGCCTCGGCTGTGGCTAGCACCCGTTGGCGTAGGTCTCTGAAGAAGCTTTTTGGTGTCCGACAAAAACAAGGGAGACTGGAATGGCCATTTCTGGCTTGTTTGTCATCCTCAACCGGTGATACCCAACCCCGACGTGTGGAACACCTGGGGCTCGATCCCATGACCTGTTGGTTGGAAGTCCGTTGTATAACCAGAGAGCACCAAAGCACAACGTGATCAGTGAACGCAACCTCCAACATTAGTAAAACCCGACCGCAACCGACAGGAAACGAGACCCGTGGTTCAGTCGTGAGGACGTCGGGCTCCCAACCAACAGGTTGTGGGATCGAGCCCAGGTGCTGCACAACTCGGGACTGAGTATGACCGAGAGAGGACGGCTAAAAGGCCAGAAATTGTCACTCCAGTCTGTCTTGTCTTCGTCGTCAGTGTCATTCTGCAATAGTCTGCGTCCCGATTTCGCCGTTTCCGAAGTAGTTTGACACTCAGATATGTATGCGATATCGTTTTTGCAGATAAAATCGACATCTACTCGCTACACCAAACGCGATTTGTACTTACTATCGCGTCCCTGTATTCTTTCAACCAAGGATAACATACTTTGGTAGTTTTTCGCGGATCTTGTGGATACATGTGACGGTGGATGACATAAAGAATTAAATCTGACATCTAAAATTTAATGCGATGCTATTTTCTGGATGTGGAAAACCTCCAGCAGCAAACTTTGATTTTTCGAACGCTAACTGGATCTGTTGCACAGAACATGGTGCAAACTGCTCCCAGAAACAAGTGTGGAATGAATCAGACGTTTGTAGCAATCAATAATTTCTATTTCGAACAAAAGTTTTGAGGTTACATCAGAATAAACATACAGGTAACGCACTGTGATTTCGTTACTAGAGAATCACCAGAGAGACTTGACAGTTTTGCAGCCAAAGCTAGATAAAACTGTATAAAGCCACTTAAAGGCGTCTCCTGACTCATTTGTGTCTAAGTGATTCGTGAATACATTTCGCAAATTGCAGTCTTCGAAGGAGGTCACCACAATAGAAATCGTTATGATCATACTGCCATTCAAGCCTCAAAGGACGCTTTCGACGGTAATTGTATCCTTTTCTTTATGTCCAAAAAATTTTTACTCTGTCATTTTTCAAAGTTTTGCTATGCTCATTGTATTCTCTAGGCTCATCCCTTGGAAAATATGACTCTTGATTGCAACATTTATATGCGCCCGATGTTTTACTGTTTACACGTACGTGTGGACTATTCAAGCTGGGATATGAGGACTATTGTTGACGCTGTTCAGTTTCTCCTTCTCATTTGCTTGGCTGTCGTTATCCGCGCCGAATTTCATCGGCAGATTTTCGTCAGGCCAGGTGGCGTTTTTCATAAAGAATCAATCGAAAGGGTTCGTTAAAAAAGCTTGTCATCAGAAATGTTTTTAGGACGGTGTCACCTGTGTTTTTGAATATAGATGTCAGGGTGGTACCGGCGAGGTTTGTCTCGATATGTATGTAATCCTTACGACTTTCAAGAATTGGGATCTTTCGCTCATGGAAGGAATTTCCAAGGGTCATGCGGTTTGCCATGCCCAACGGTCCGGGGAAACTACGAGCTACCTGTATTTCCAAGATTTCTCTTTACGAATTGAGGGTCCAGCCGAAATGATAACCGGCCAAGCCTATGTAATAACCATTCCATTCTTACGCGCTTAGTCTCAAATGGGAGTTCCGCTTTTGTCGAACGAGTTCTTGGTTGATCTGAAGAAAAAGGAAGGTAACGCTTTCTTGTCAAATTCAACTTTTTTAGTTTCGCACGTCAACGGAAAGTTCAAAAACGCGTTGGTGCATGTTTCATCAGAATATATACGCTTGCCCGAACAGGACCTATAACTCAAGTCACTCTCCAAATCCCGATTCTGACTTTATGAGCATATTTTTTGGGTTAAGGAAGGAGAAGGCGAAACAGACTCCGGTTGCCACGTGCGTGTTCGTCGGGTAGCTGTGTCCATTATGACCGACTCGTCTTTCCCTTACCATGTTTTACTAACTTTTTTGCTTTAGGATCCGTTTTTATAAATCTCCCGGTCTGATTTACCTCATCTTTTGTTTTTTACCTTTTCTCGTAATGCGTACAGAAAGTATGAATTCGCACCTGTGCACTAACGTGGTATTCAGGACTGGGAAACCAGCACTTTTTGCATGTTCTGAATGGCAGCCGGAGAGCCTATGCGTCGAGTAATAACTGTGCGACTTAGCTTGGTAGATAACGTGAGATTACCGTTGTGTTGGTGCTATTTAGTTATTAATTGTTGCGAGGATGTATTTATCACCCGGTTGCGGAACATGCTGCTATTTCATACTGTTCGAGCTTGGTATACGTTTATTACATGAACAGATTTACATTTTTGAGAAGCCTACCTAGGGGGACACGCCTTCTTAACGTTGCATGGTTAACTAGAGGGTCGTGGAGGCCTATGGTTTCGGACAAATTCTTTAGTTGTTTGTTTTGCACACAAATCCAAGGAGCAGGTTCGGGAAATTTTGACCCATTTTGCAGACTGTTTCCATGACCTGGGCTCTCAGAGATTATGTTTGGTCACTTTTATCTTCGCGCTTGAACATCCGGTCGAAACTCTAAGGCACTCGAATACCGCCGTCAGTTCAAACCCTAAGTTAATCAGCATGAAATTGTGGAGGATGTGGCACCCCATTCTGTATTTGGATTCACGTAGGGGAATCGTGCCTGCCTTTAAAAATGTTTTGCCAAGGCATGCCGTTTCAGGGGCAGACTCTCCCGCATTGGGAATGCAGCTTGTTGCGTTAACCGCTTAGAACACGAACAGGCCTAATTCCGAATCCAGAAAGTGTATTTTAAGCGAAGTCATTCGTACCATAACGTCTGAGTACGCTGAGGATGGCATATAACACAGAAGAGGGTATGGTCACGTTGGTGGAGCGGTCCATCTGGATGGTGACAGTACCGTTATGCCTGCCTAATGATCGGTGGGAGTCTAGCATTATGAGCAAGCACCAGCGAGGGCCATGAAAGGATGCTGATGCGAAAAGAGTATTAAGTACGACGATTGGGATGTCAGGAGTTGGGTGGAGAGATCGCCATGTTTCTTGACAGGCGGTTACACCACTATCGTACTGCATTCTCGCAAGAAATGTCCAAACGACTAAAACTGTCAGGTTCTGTGGCGCATTACGGTGCGATCTCTTGTTCTGTATAGCACTGCAGGGATGGTCCGAGGTCACGTGTCTCAAGTCACCAAGTGACACTTTGGTCGTCAATGAGTGGGGAAAACACTGCTTTTGTCCTTGAGCTGGCATTATATTCTAGCAGATGTTTTCGAAACATTAAGGACCAGCCTCAAGCGATGTATGATTTTCCTGTATTTCTTACGGGTCAGGACTCGTGTCTGTGTGAATGCACAAGTACATCAGATATGTCCCGGGTGGTTCGCTAGGTACGCATTTTGGAGTTGCGAAAATTCCCATGGCAGAAATCAGAAGACGAGGTGGCGAGCATACGTAACTTCCGATAAATTTTCGTCGGGCCAGTTCAATTATATGGAAGGGGATGGAAGTAGAAATACGTCAGTGATAAGATAAATCGACTAAAGTTCGCCTTCAAACAGGCTGGGTGTGGGAATGGGGGGGGGGTATTAGCAGTCTGAGACGAAGTCGATGTGCTTCACTCGAAGGATGATCCTCAAGCGGCGCTGGTCAAACACCTCCAGTTTTGCTCATCTACGTGCGAAGCCCAGAATACACAACCGTAGACGGAACTGACCGGACGGATGCACGGTGCACGCGGATCTTCGTGTCAACGGGGATGTCACATCGGATCCATAAGCGTATTCCAAGGACTGTGGAAATTTTAGGAGCAGCATTTATTCGGGAAACAATGTCGTCCTTATTCTCTCCATTCGGCAGCAGCCTCTCCCGAGATATTTATAACCGCTTCTTCAAGTTCACAGCTTTTTGCCCCGAGGAGTGCCCTCTAGTCGGGGATACAGCTCAAAATCACTTCAGTCTTCCCAGGTTTTATGTGTAAGCCGACCGATTTAGCGACTTCATTTACCCGTAACACCGCAGGCTGTTGACCACCGAAACTAGGTGTTGGCAAGCTGATATCGTCAGCGTAGTCGTGATCAGTTAGCCGGCGCCCGGGGTGAATTCGACACCGTTTAAGCCGTATAAGACTCTTCCAAAAATCCAGTCACCAGCGTAGTTGAACAGAATGTAGGAACATGATGGAACCTTGTACGACGCCAGATCGAGTACCAAGGGGTTGGGGGAGAACTCGCGCAGTTGTGGAACGATGGTAGGCCCCGGTCGTGGCAATTGTTGCCGGCATATCTAGTTCCATTATCCGCCACAGGGGCCCACGGTAGACGGGATCGAACGCTACAACGAAGTATACACTTACTAATAACACGGTGGGATTCAGGGATGTGCTTCGGTATGAATATCTGGTCGCCGCTTTCACACCTAGGTCGGAGCCCGGCCAAGTTAAGCCTAGTTCTCGAGTCACGCACACTGGAATCTGAAAATAACAATAATAAAGACCTCAGCAATGCCCACGAGACTTATGCCGCGGGAATTGTCGTATCTTGCTTTTCTTTTCTTCTCGGAGCTAGGCACAAGGGTTCATGAGGCCCTGTTGTCAGGATCCACCTCCCCTCGCACATTGAAGCATTTTGCGCACCTGGGGCGAAAGATTACCGACAGAAGACTTGTAGATTTCAGTGTGAGTTTCGTCCTTGGGCACCTTATTGTGCAGCCTCCGCATTGCATCGACGATTGCCCCCTGACGGGGTACACATGATATTGCATAGGTTGGGCATGGATGGGGCTGCTGCGGAAGACAGCGAATGCGGGACGGGTCGACCATCGAAGTCGATAGGTCACTAACGCCAGCGCTCTACTTTGACATAGCTATCAGCAATAAAGTCACCATTCACCTCACAAAGGGAGTCAATGCGAATGGTTTATCCCAGGGAAGTTTTCAAGTGCTATCAGCGTTTAAAGCATGTTTCATGGAGGTCGCCATTAGAGCTCAATATTTCTCGCGGTCATCTATAACTAACTTTGTCGTCTTTGCCCGGAGTTGGTGAAAGAAGTAATCGTTGCGGTATCTGACTTGAACTGTCTTCGCAGGCGACTGTAAGAGTTCTGTCGTCGATATAGTCCGGTGGCGCCGCTGCGTTAGTCCATGATTTTTTTCAACTGCATCATAGACTGATGGCTTCAGTGATACTCACTGGCTACTACATTCGGCATCGACTCAGGTCGTAAAGCGAGACCGAATTTCCATGCTCTAGGCCTCGGCCGTTGTAGTTTGGCAACACCAATGAGTCTTTCATATAACGGTTTGAGTGCAAATCGGAGGTGAAATTTCAGACGGGCGTGGACGAGAACATGACCCGGACTACGGGCTTTACCAGTTTCGCCAACACGCGTCGATCTGCTATTGTGGACCGAACTGTGGAAGTTGGGACCGGCCGAAAATTAGTCGATCTGGCTGGCCGTATGGTCGTCGTCCGAATATCGGGTTAACAGATGTTTGTGGTGATGCTGAGAACATGCTGGTGACAAACAGTCGGTTCCAGTCTTCAGAGTTCGGCATGCTCTCACCACTGCCTCAACGAGAACCAAGCTCAAAGCGACCAATAAGTTGACTTTTTGAGGAGTCGACAGGTCCACTGCGACCATTCCAGTCTCCGACAATCACTCGATCCTGGCGGGGGGCGTCCTTCAGCCGACTGAAGGTAGATGGTTTTTTCATCGCATTGGTTGGCAGCTGATGTTGGTGCGTACACAGTGACGACAGAAATTTTCGTTGAGTCACTCCAGTCGCACATAAGATAGTCGTTGACTAGTTCCCACACAAGAGAGCGCACGGTTTGCTTCTTGCGAGAGGGCGAACGCTGCACTGTACTTACGGGGTGAGCCGCAATGGCCGCTGTAGTACAGGGTAGCCATGAGGTGCCTCCTTGGATCTTTATTTCTCGAGCGCGTGAGTCGGGGTTTCTGACGTCGGGCAGGCAGCATGCATCCACGTTGTAGTGCGAAATACTGCGTGGCGTTCGACCTTGGGTAGTGGGGTCGAAAGACTCGCACATTCCGGCGTCCAAAACCAGGAGTCCGTTCCGATTAGGAGGTCAAGCTCGCATATTGATCGCCCGCGAACAGGGTTGTGGAATGCGTCTGTTCCCCTAGATGCCGTATCAGGGGGTTTTAGTATTCTAATTATTTCTTTTCGTGGAGTCCCTTGGGAGTTTTGTGCACAAGTGAGTCCACAACAGCCGCCGGGACTGTTTTGTGAGGTTCTATTCTAGGGTCGCGAAAATTCCCATTGTAAAATTCAAAAGGCAATTTGGCGAGCATACGTCTACTTTCTATAAATTCTCTTTAGGCCTGTACATTTATATGGCTATTGGAGTAATGAACTAAAAGATACGGGCAAGTACATGATTAAGCTGTAGCTCGGGTTTGAGGGAGGGGAGGGGAACACCACACTTCCAGTCAGCCCCAGGGAGAAGATGGGTCCCGACGAAGGTAATTAAATGCGGATGGCTGGCTTGGTGGCTTTGAACCATGGCAACTGTGGGACCTGTATGAAGTTCTTCTGTGCGCATAGGACCGGTCCGTGTAGGCTGATTGCAGCCGTCTCTGCCGTAGCCAACAAGCGCTGCTCAAGTAGTCACTAGTTGTGCATCAATCTCATCTGTATTGTCCTACTTTGTCTTTCTGAACTTTTTCTGATCCGACAGAATTGACTGTATTTTTTGTAATATAGTCTACCCTGTCCATCAAAACAACGCCAGTTTCCTTAATTATCAGAACGTCTGTGTTCTTCCGGAGTTGCTTTAACTTCTCAA